CCCCACCCATCCTTGTGGCCCCTTGATAAATTATAAATTATTATTATTTGCACATCTTACACCAACTCTGTCCTCCTTCCTCCATGGTTTCTGTTCTTCGTGTGTGGTGTGGTTATGTGTCAATCATTGGGATCAGTTCTCCCTTCCTTCCCTCCTCTCTCTACCTTCCCTTCCCTTCTGGTATTGCTTTTCCCCATTCCTGTTCCTGGTTTTCGTGTGTGGTGAGCTCTTATCTCTTATATGTACCTGTGCATGTGCTCCAGTGTAGTCTGAAGTTGAGAGGCAGCACTGGGGTCATGATAGTGGGGGGTGAGGAAGCCTCAAGGAACCAGAGGAATATTGTGTGTTTCATCAGTGCTTTACTGCACCCTGATTGACTTATCCCTTCCCGATGACCCCTCTTTGGAAGGATGTCCAGTTGTCTACAAATGGGTTTTGGATCTCTGCTCTGACCTCCCTTGTTCTCAACAATATGGTTTGTTTGTTTGTTATGGGTCTTCTGATGCCTGTTAGCCAGTACTAATGACACCTCATGATTGCACAGGCTGGTGTGCTTCTTGAATGTGGGCTTGTTGCTTCTCTGCTAGATGGCTGCTTGTTTAATTTCAAGCCTTTAAGATCCCAGAAGCTATATTTTTAAAAAATCATTTTATTGGGGGCTCATACAACTCTTATCATAATCCATACATACATTAATTGTGTAAAGCACATTTGTACATTCATTGCCCTCATCATTCTCAAAACATTTGCTTGCCATTTAAGCCCTTGACATCAGCTCCTCATTTTTCCCCTCCCTCTCCTCTCTGCTGGCCCTCCCTCATGAACCCTTGATAATTTATAAATTATTATTTTGTCAGATATTACACTGTGCGACATCTCCCTTCACCTACTTTTCTGTTGTCCATTCCTCAGGGAGGAGGTTATATGTAGATCCTTGTAATCGGTTCTACCTTTCCACCTCACCCTCCCTCCACCCTCCAGGTGTCGCCACTCTCACCACTGGTCCTGAAGGGATCATCCGTCCTGGATTCCCTGTGTTTCCAGTTCCTATATGTACCAGTGTACATCCTCTGGTCTAGCCAGATTTGTAAGGTAGAATTGGGATCATGACAGTGGGTGGGGAGGAAGCATTTAGGAACTAGAGGAAAGTTGTATGTTTCATCGTTGCTACCCCGCATCCTGACTGGCTTGTCTCCTTGCTGCGACCCTTCCATAAGGGGCTGTCCAGTTGCCTACAGATGGGTTTGGGTCCCCAATCTGCACTCCCCCTCATTCACAATGATAGGATTTTTTGTTCTTTGATGCCTGATACCTCATCCCTTCAACATCTCGTGATCATACAGGCTGGTGTGCTTCTTTCATGTGGGCTTTGTTGCTTCTAAGCTAGATGGCCACTTGTTTACCTTCAAGCCTTTAAGACCCCAGACGTTATATCTTCTGATAGCCGGGCACCATCAGCTTTGTTCACCACATTTGCTTATACACCCATTTGTCTTCAGCGATTGTATTGGGGAGATGAGCACACATGATATGATTTTTTTGTTCTTTGATGCCTGATAACTGGTCCCTTCAGCACGTGGTGCTCACACAGGCTGATGTGCTTCTTCCATGTGGGCTTTGTTGTTTCTTTAGTCTGGCTTTTGTAGCCGGGCACCATCTGCTTTCTTCACCACATTTGCTTATGCACCCATTTTGTCTCCAACAATTGTGTGGGGAGGGTGAAAATCCCAGAATGTCAGTTTGTTAGAACAAAGTGTTTTTGTGTTGAGGGAGGGTATAAGCAGAGGCCCGAGGCCCATTCACTACATCAGTGTATTGCCATATAAATATATGTACATAGTCCATTACCTCTATTTTTATGAATTAATGTATTTGCACGTGTACACACGTATGCGTATACCTCTATCCATACCTTTGAGGTAAGTCTTCACTGACCAATTAAGGCTTTGCTCAAGTTCTAGGCATATTTATTTGTTTAGGTCTGTGCAAGTGTGTGTAAGGAGCCCTGGTGACCTGGTGACACAGTGGGGTACACATTGTGCTGCTCTATGCAAGCAGAGTTCCAACTCTTTAGCCTCTTTGTGGGAGAACGCCAGGAGGCTTTCTGCTCCTGTGAAGATGTACAGCCTCAGATGCCCACAGGATCAGTTCTCCTCTGTGCCATCTGGTCACTGTGAGTTGGAGTCGATTCACTGGCAGTGAATGTGATGAGAGTTCGATGCCAGTGGGTGTGCAAGTATTGATGGTTTCTTTCCAATGTCAGAATACATCTTCTTTTACATCACTGAAAACTTCAGAATACAAGAATTTTGGGAAACACTGAGAGGATATGAGCCTGGGAGTGGTACGACATGTGGAAGAGCGAGTTAGTGCTTGCACTCGGCGTCTTTGCTCCTTGCTAAGCTGAGCTGTACAAATGAGATTAAATAAAACAGACCTTAGGAGAAGGATGGGCACAAATGGGACCAGTTTTAAGTTACCGATTGTAAAGTCAGGAGAGTACTTTGAGAAAACTTGTACTGAAACATGATCATCTTTCTCCATATTTGGTTCTGTCTTCTGAACTAAAGTGGCCATTTTTGACATTATGATGTTTGATCAAAGAAATTGAAGGCAGTGATATTTGTTTTATACAGGCTTTGGGGCAAAGTTTCAAATCAGGATTTGACATTTTGGTAAATGTTAGCATATCTCATGGTACACGAATAGGACAAGTTCTCCCCACCCCTCCTCTTTTCTTCCTGACTTTTATTTTCCTGTCCAAAAAATTGCAGACTTGGCAGAAAACCTTGGGAAAATGAAAAGGCCCACTTCTCCCAAAATGGTATTACTCATCCTGATTTAAAATAAACAACATGAAAAAAGAATTTAAAGACATACTCTGCCAACACATGTAGTTGCCATATAAGTGAGGGTCCGTCTCCAGAAGGAGTTACCTAGAGGAATGCAGAAAGGATGGAATGATTGAGAGAATGATTGAAATCAAGAGGCAGATTAACCTTCAATTATGGGCTTTATTAATGTATCCAAATACGTGGGCGCAGGAACGCCAGTGCATCAGTGAGAACAGAAAGAGGCTGCAGAGTTTGGTTGTGGCTTGGACAAGGGTCTTTTCCACAACTGTTAAAATAGTATCAAGTGATACCTAATAAAAGTCTCCTGATCTTAAGGCATGTGCTATAAAGACAAATGTGGCTGCTTCCATGTCTCTTCTTGTCTTGTCTGGTCAAGACATATGGTTCTACTGCTTGGGGAAGGAAAGCTTAGTAAGATAATTCATTGGAGTCCATCCAGTGACTCAGCCGTTACATCAGTCTTATAGCCTTTCCTGCATTGATATCCAAGTCAATGGCAAAGAAAGCTGCGGAAAGTTCTAGAGTCCTGTTTTTGAGGGGGCCCTGGGGAGAGGAGCTATGAGAAAAGGTGAAAAGATCAGGAATTATTCAACACAAGGACGAGTTGGGAGGGATTCCATTTTAGCACGAAGTGTTTTTCAAGTTGCCTTTGATCACTCATAAAAAGTCTACATAGCTGCCATTTGTAGGCAATAGGAAACAATAAGGAGCCCTGGTGGCATAATGAGTTATGTGTTGGGTTGCTAACTGCAAGGTCGGCAGTTTGAATCCATCAGCTGCCCTGAGGGAGGGAGTTACATGAGGTTTTCTGGCCCTAGAAAGAAATACAGCCTCAGAAATACAAAGAAATAGTTCTGCTTGGTCCTACAGGGCCACGATGAGTTGGAATCAACTGTGTGGCAGTGGGTTGGCTTGGCTTGGGTTGGATTAAGAAATAGTAGAACCCTTAATGCTGAGCCAAATAGGAGAGGAGCACATTGAAGCAGTTATTGGGTCAATTCCAACTCGTAGGGACCTCGTGGGTGCAGAGGAGAGCTGTACCCCTGGGGTTTTCAAGCTTCCTTCCTTCCAAGGAGCTTCGGAATGGGTCAGACTGCTAGCCTTTGGCATTGTAGTCTAGCTCTCAAGCAACTGAGCCGTTCATCACCACAGCGGCACATCCTAATAAGAAAATGCATTCAGTTATACAATGCTCACTCATAACATTTGGAATGTCGTCATTTGAGACATTCACTATAAGAATATAATTAATAATAATTTATAAATTATCAAGGGTTCATGAGGGCGGGTGGGAGGGGAAAAATGAGGACCTGATACCAAGGGCTCCAGTAGAAAGAAAGTGTTTTGAAGATGATGCTGGTAGCAAATGTACTCATGAGCATGCTGGACACGATGGATGGGTGGATTGTGATAAGGGTTGTACGAGAACCCCAATAAAATGATTAAAGAAAAGAAGAATATAAGTTAGGTCTTTGTAGAGGAGTCTTTGACTCAAAGGCCCCTAACAGCCACCCCCACCACACGAGGAGTCTCAGAGTACATTTTAAACTTTCTTCCAAACATGTCCGGATCGTTCTCCCCATTGGTAGCACCCTCTCAGAAATCTTTCTTGCATCAGCTCATTTTGTCAAGTGAAATATACAAAGTTTGGGGGTGACTTAATTACCCCCTGACAATGCTTATGCTTGTTGACTTATTTTCCAGTCTTGGCTGACAATGTGTCAGGAGCGCTGGTGGCACCTCGGGTTAAGCATTGGGCTGCTCACTGGAGAAAAATGAGGCAGTCTTCTCAGGGAAAGATTTCTCCCTCTCTGCCATCGAGTCTGTGCTGACTCATAGCGACCCCCTGCGAGTTTCGGAGACTGTAATTGTTGACTGGAGTAGAAAGCCCGGTCTTTCTCCTGAGGAACTGCTGGTCATTTTGAACTACCAACCATGAGGATCGCAGCGCAACTCGTAAGCACTACACCACCAGGCATCCTCCACGGAAAGATGGAGAGTCGTGGGAACGCTGGGGGGCAGGTCTTCTCTGTCCTATAGGGTTGCTAAGAGTGGGAGGGCGGGATGTCAACGGGTCTGGCTTTCGTTGGAGGTGACTCCTTGTACTTTCAGCCTTCTGAAAACGTCCCGTGTGTTTGTTTTCAGGTTGCTGCTATTGCTCCATCTAAACAGCGGGACACACGATGACGAGAGTTCAGCACAAGATGTGGTACTGGCTGTTTCCAAGTTTTCTGGCAATTGCTTATTTCAGCACCATGGTCCAGAGTCAAGGTAATCGAAAACTTGACTATCAGAGCCTGGGACTCTAGCTGATGTGTTGGTTCTGATTCGAGTTTTCATAAGACTTGTCAAGTGAGTGCTTCATTGGTCAGCTGTGTTTTGAGTCAGGGCACACATTGGGTTTTACGCAGAGTTGCCAGTGGTTTGCATGGTGAGATTTGCCCTAACTCTGATGCGGGTGACGATTTCACCAGGGACCAAATGCAATCATTCTGAGGCAAATGCTTCAGCAGCTCATTCTTGATGCGCTTCCAAAAAATGTTATGCAACTTTAATCTGGGAAAGGTCTAAGTGAACATTACAAATTTAGTTCTATTAATGAAGAGTGATAATGTCTGTGTGTATTTTAAGTATGCCTGCCTCGTAAATACAGTTTGTATAAAATATGGCCACCACGTCCTCCCCGAGTGCGCTCAAGTTGATGTAGCCTTACAGCGACAGAGCAGAACTGGCCTATACGGTTTCACAGCAGACCAGCTCTGCTTTCTCCCTTGGAGCATCTGGGGGGTGGGAACCACCAGCTTTTCACTTAGGCAAGTAAGCAAGGGCTTAACCCTACAGTGTCACCAGGACTCTTTACCACCTCATCCCTGGCCCTAAGGACCCCTGACAGCGTAGTGGGTTATGAGTCGGGCTGCTTATTGAAAGGTCCGCAATTCAAACCCACCAGCTGTTCGTGGGAGGGAGATGAGGCTCTTTGATCCCATAAAGATTATTACAGTCTTAGAAACCTTAAAGAGAAGCTCTACTTTGTATATATATAGGTGTGTGTACATATATATGCATATATATAGTCTCTCTCTCTCTCTATATATAATATATATATAGAACTTATAATGCTATTCTATAAGGTACTTTAAAATTTTTACTTTTTATTGTGAATTAGGTAAAATCCAGAGGGCTAATGTCTATTGTCTGGTATTAAGAGTTATGCGAGCGTCAAATTCATGAGCACTTCATCACACCATACTTCCTCCAAATGAGGCTCACCTGTTTGGCAAGGAGCGGAACTCGACTCTTTGCATATCCCCATAGGTGTATATTTTGGTTCAATGATCCTATTTCCACATTTTCATGCAGTACATGGAATCAATTTGGTAGGTAAATCTTGTTTAACTGATTTATATTGATAAGAGAAAGTCTTCAGCTACGGTGGTTGGAGAAGTGATCATGGGACTCCTAGATAACGCATAGTCTAACCTGCAGGGACCATGCCTGGTGGTCCAGATGGTTCATACACTTGGCTGCTAACTCAAAGGCTAGAAGCTCATGTCTACTCAGAGGTTCCTCAGAAGAAAGGCCTGGGGATCATGTCTAAAATATTAGCCACTGAAAATCCTATGGCTTTTATCCTAACACACATGAAGTCATCATAGGTCAGGACTGACTCGATGCCAGTTGGTGGTAGGGGGACATTCTGGGGTTTAAGATACAGGTGTTTGGGACCCAATGGCTGGCATATTGCTAAGTCCTCCCCAGTGCTACCTCAGTCTAACCTAACTCAGCAACAGTTGTTTGTGGGGTCACTGACCATCCAGCGGTTTTCTATCCACTAGGGAGACAGAATTTAAACACATGCATCTCAATGTGAGTTAGATGGGGGGCGGGGTGGGGGTTGGGGGGGGCAGGGGTTGTAGCAAAAGACAAAGACAGAAAGTTTTATGGGGACGTTGGTGCTGAAAAAAGTATGTGAGACTCTCAGGGAACCGCATCTTATTTCTACCATGCCATGCTAGTTATCATCTGTCATTTACATGGTTGCTTTTAAGCAAAGAATAAAAATCTTGATTTGCTTTAGTTGAATTGTTTTCTGCTTTTTAAAGCAAAATGATTAGTGAGTTCCTGTGAGTTGACCTATATTGACCATAATATGGAGCTCCATCTCTGAATATGCTTTGCAACTAGCAGGTATGTTGACTTGCTAGCTGACACTAGCTATATGTATATATGTGTGTGTATATATGATGTATATGTATGTATACATAATGTATGTATGTATATATAATGTATGTATGTGTATATAATGTATATATATAATCATTGCCTTTGAGTCAATGCCGACTCACAGCAACCTCTTGGTTTCTGGTTTCTGAGACCATCCATCTTTTTTTTTTTTTAACATTTTATTAGGGGCTCATAC